GGATAGTAAACGTCAAAATCGTCGGACCCTCATGTTCTGACTTGCCCGAAAATCCTCGGTTTTTTTCTTATGGACCGTCTCTTAATGCACCTTCCCTTTTAGTTGTTCCGCTTGCTGAATGTCTAACAGGAGAAGCATGGAGTTCTCAATCAATTGGTAAGTATTCTTGTTGATTACTTTGTCTTTGGGAGATAAGTCAAGCCCACCTCTGTATGGTGTTTCCTGTATAACGCTAACGGGCCGCTTCAGTGAGACAGGATATTCTTTCATTCAAACATCGAAAAACGCGAATTTCTCACGTCGTCTATTCGAAGTTCTATCTGAAGCCATGTAACCCAGAAATAGAGCAATACAAGATGAGTTTGTTTCAATATATGAAACTGGTGTCAGACATCACTATCATCAGTCGCTAAAAATATGTCAGTTTGTAGAATGGCAGGAGAGCAACTACCTCATTCACACATCCTATCAATAATCAATTAAAGCTACGAACGCTTTATTTACCTTCGGATTACAATGCTAACACATCCCGTACAAGAATCTTATTCGTCCAGAAGGCGAATGCCGTGTTGAGTTAATATGAACCACATGCCAGATTTTCGGGACACTAGCCCAAAACCTCCTCGACACAGAGATGAGTATCGAATCTTTGATTCTTAGTTGGTCTTACCATTATCAAGACGGAAAATCAAACTGCACAACATAAACTGGCAGAAATCAGACTATGTTCAAATACTTGCATTAATTCAACGATGACACGACACTACATAATGGTTCTGCCTTACCGTCTCTCTCTTTTCCAGAAAAACGACCTATCTTGTTTGCCCAAAAACTTTCTTTCTGTTTTCTTCAAAAATAAAATATACATAAAACACAACCGGTTATTGGGAGATGCGGGTTCGATTCCTGTTCTGGTTCAATGATTCTTTCTACTTAAGCTTTCGTCTTATGTAGAGCAAATCAACTGTGGATGTTCTGACTAGTTTCGATGAACGAATTTCTTTGTGGACAAGTGAAATGATGGTGGATAATCCATTTAAGGATTCTTCAGTCTTGCTTTCTCTTTCGAGCTTTTTAATATATCAAACTCACCCTCACCCTCTCGAAACCGATCCTGGCTTTCTATTAATACTCACCCTCTAATACAAGTAACGCTCATCCACAGATTCGCTGACCCTTTTCTGAAAAGTCCTAATTGGCTTCTTCAGTCACAATAGTCCGATAGGGACAACTGTATCGTCATGCGTAGCTAACCTCATTCGAAAATAGTATTCATTGTTTTTTGCTGTGTTTATACGTAGCAGTAAGCTACTCTGCTCATATAACGAATGCAAACCTCGTCGCGATGTGATACATTAGGCGTCTTACAGATATGATTCAGCTATGCAGTTCACATAACCTAAGGGCCAAGTGGTGGACGATGATATTTGTATGAGACCGCTGCTACTATATTAAGATGAGAAACACGATGTACAATCTCCGTTCTTTCCGTATAATACCTATTTCTGTTTCCGTTCACTTCGATAATCTGATTGATCGAATTATCGAAACCTGTTCTTTCACTGGAAAATGAATTGGAATACTGAGTTCTTTCTCAAGGAAGTGTATTCAGAAATGAGTAACTCTCCCACTCCATGTATCTAATAAAAATCCAAACTTGTTCGAAAAGTATACTTCAGCTCATGTCTTTTAATAAAAAACTAGGAAAACTTTCATTGTGAGAACCTCTTGTCGATAAAGAACGGTGTGCGCGTAAGATCGATTTCCATTCTCAATTGAGTTGCGAGATATTGGATTTTAGATGCCCGACTGATCTGTTTGTATGGAACTGTCACATGGCTAATACTGGTATCAAAAAAAATTTCAGTCTGAATTCAGTTAGAATCTGTGAACCCTCGTTGTAGTTATCCTCATAGTGCCTGTCTGATACTTGCCTGTGACATTATATATAACATGTTACCCTACGTGAAGCGCGAATGTCGTCTCCGAGTCGGTCGTCGGCGCCCTATCGGGGCGCCACTCCCGACTCTCCACGAGTTTCGACCGATGTGTCATTGATTTCAAAACTTCCCTCACAAAAACAGCTCATATTAAAGCGTGGAGAACCATAAGAATCTTTCATTCACTTCTTCTAGAAGCATTATTACTGAGATGCAATCTCGGAAAAGCAAGTTTGGGCTGACTTATCAAAAACAACAATGCTCCTAAAACAATGAGTTCAACTAACAGAGATATCGAATAAGATACTACCAAACTTTCGATGAGACTAGCCCTTATTCACCACGTAGGTGTTGTTTAAATGATGGAGTTTTCAGGCAACTACATGTATCGCTGTCCATACAGCATAGGAAACATCTCAATATCGAAGCTGCGTGCATCCATCTTGTTGGTCTTCTTCTTTGGCCTTTCGTCATGACTGATTTATGCATTGCTGTGCCCTAGAGGATACGAGCACGTCTATAGAGATCGAAAGTGGTGAGATAATTTGGCTTGCCCATGTTCGTCACACACATTCGTGAGACGATCATGTAGATTTAACGATCTATCTGAATGATTTCAATCCCGTACAGCACTTCGAAACTTTTTGAAATGAGGCTATGACGGCAGTTGTGGCGCACAGACTCTCTTCCAGTCTCCTTTCAACGTAAACTGTTTCTTCGTAATTAACTAACTGAGTAGACACATCGAGAATGGGAAATGCATAATTTCCTGTCTCGTATCGTCGATCAAAGACTCTAGAATTAGGTTATTGTTTCTGGGACAAAATGTTAGCTCGAAACCAGGCAAGTACGCTCCTCGTCATTCGTCGGCGCCCTAGGGCGCCACTCCTGACTCGTCGCCCGTTGTGTCTTCGATAAGCAGTGTTTTGTGATCCTATGAACTCAATCGTACAAAAATATGTGTAAAGTCAGATTCTAATCAATTTGAATCAATTTGAATTGGTGAATGCGGTCTTAGACCATTCCTTCTTAGTTGACGCTAATGTGGTTTGTCGAAAAGGTTCCAATTCGACACTGAGATCATAGTTAATTTTACGCATCACTTCACATAGAGGATAGAACTTCGATAAGCTAGAATCTGCACAAAACAAAGCATCCATGCAGCAGTTGACTGAAATCTCTTTCTCGATTGGCCCCTTGGAGGATTAACTAAAGCACTCTTTCCCATTTCGCTAGGCTAATTTGATGAACCTCCCTCTCAAAATGACGTGAAGAGGTACTCTTGACTGATCGATTAGTAGTGCCACCAGATTGAAATCAGATTTAAACCCTGCATAATCAGTTACCGATGGTCATTCAGCATTCCAAAACGCGATGTCCATTGGTTTTTCGCGAAACAATCAAAACTCAAGGCTCATGAAGCTCATATTTGAAATCGGCGCATCAAAACTGCTACAGTCAGTTACTCTCTCGATCCCTCGATTTTTATTGGTTGCGAGTCGACCGATTGAGTTTCTAGACAAATCTTGGTCAGTTTCGAACTCCCCACAATTCAACTACCAATCAAGGACTGCTTTTTCAAAAACTCGATTTTCATTGGTTCTTGGGTAACCAATAGGATTATGAGGCAGTTTGAGTCCGGATTCGAGCACCTCGCATCAAATTACATCGACAAAACCATTTTTCAAAAGAATCGATTTCCATTGGTTCCGAGTCGACCAATAGGATTTCGAGGCGAACGGTCACCAAATTCGAACTCCCCGCATCAAATTACCTATCATGGACCACTTTTGCGAAAACTCAATTTTCATTGGTTCCTGGTGGACCAATAGTGTTTCGAGCAAAACTGAGCTCAGATTCTGATTCGCGAGGCTTGATTACCTATGGCCACTCACTTTCCACACGAAAATCTGCCTTCCCGCGCTTTTTCAGAAATGCTGCTTTCTGATTGGTTGGACAGACAGACAGACAAACATTTTCTGTTTGCAAGACCCTTTCTTTCAGAAAAGGGAACTATTGCTTTTCGAAAATCTGAAACCTTTTTATTTAATTGAAAATCAACATTAACAAACGAAACAATGCGCGACAACAACGATAAAATAATCAAGATATCATCTCCCATCATTACCAGTTGATTTCTAATCCCACTCCACATCAAAACCATAACGATCGAAAGCAGGATCACGAGCAAGAGCAGGATCAAAAGAATCTGGATCAAGAAGACGATCAAGAGGAGAAGTTCTGTGTGTTTCTGGTGTCGCGGCCATGCTTTTTGATAGTTGGAGGCTATCTCTTGCTAAAGAATATGTGGACAAAGTTAGCTGAGTTATGTCGCTATTTTGCTTTCGAAAACTTTGAGATTTAACTCTGGTTTAGTTTAAAATGTGGTATACTACAGTGGGGATCGAAAGCCAGGTCTTACTTCTTGTTTTGAGTCGTGTATTAAAACTACACAACATCAATTTAATTCAGTTATATGCTTGGATAGTAGAGATAGAGTAGTATATATAATTACATCTGTTTAAATGGAAAAACTCAGATATTATAGATAATAAATAGAAATAGAAAAAATATTCAAAAAATATTCATATTTATTTATTAATCTCTCAATTCATCTAGGATTGACTTAATCATCAATTAATGATTAACTAAAACGAAATTCTAAATCATCTTTTTTTTCGAGCACGGGACATCAACGATTGGTTAGAACGAATCATTAAATCGGTTTTGCTTCTCAATTTTTTGAAAATTTCGTAGCATGAAAATATTGATAAATGATATAATAGATTGATATCATCCCATGTCCTCAAAATCGCCTCACTTTGGTCGATTAATCGCGATTTTTCCATACATATATCGGCAAAAATCGCCGATTAATCGTGCGATTTTATCGCTAAGCTGTCACAATTAATCGGCGATATTTGCCGATATAACTCCACCATAGAGACCGCAATCCAGCGGCTTCTGTGCCAGTCGCAAGTCCGGGTAAAGGAAGAGCGTTAGACGGAAGGGGTGCAGATACCGCCGTCTGTAAAAAGAACAAGACGACAGAAACCAACCATGAACGACTTCAACACGAAACCATACCGGCTCGGACGGCGTCCGGGTGAACAAGGTCCGCGTCCTCTGCCGAGTGACCAGGGCAGAGTCGAAAAATTGGCGACTGGAAAGAATTCATATACGACAAAAAACACGCAAAAACTAACTCTTGCCAAAAATTCTTTGACAGTAGGAACATGGAATGTGCAGACCCTATGGGCTGCTGGAAAATTGGAATTGCTGCGAAACGAAATGAAACGTTTCAGATACGATATAATTTGCATTTCTGAAGTGCGATGGACAGGAAAAGGTGAAACATCAAATGGAGATTTTATTTGGTCAGGAGAAGAGACTGTACATATGAGGGGCGTCGGTTTCTTGCTAAGCGCACAAGCAAAAAAGGCGTTAATAGGATACAATACAATAAGCTCACGAATAATTTCGGCACGATTCGATGCAGCACCATTTAAAATGACAGCCATACATGTATATGCATCAACTTCTGCATCGTCAGAAGAGGACATTGAAGCATTCTACAACGATATTGAGAAAGTAATAACAAAGACAGATAAAAAGGATATAATCATTTTGACAGGAGATTGGAACGCTAAAATTGGTAGCGAAAATGCAGATTGGAAATCCGTTATGGGTAAATATGGTTATGGCGATAGAAACGAACGCGGAGAACGCCTCCTAGAATTTGCAACCGTACACGATCTCTACATATGTAATACAAGGTTCCAACAGAACCCTAACAGAAAATAGACTTGGGCATCACCAGATGGCATTCACAAGAATATGATTGATCTGATTCTCATCCAAAGAAGATGGAAGACATCGGTCATCAACTGTCGAACATTTCAGAGTGCAGACATAAGCTCAGATCATTCACTAGTCTTATGCAACATCAAACTGCGACTCAAGAAAATGTACAATAAGCCGCAACAATACTACACCGCTGATGTTAACCGATTGAGAGATGAGAAAATAAGGCAATCATATAGCAATGAACTATTCAACAACATGAAAAACATAGAGCCAACATGTAATCTGGAAGAGCATGCCAACAAAATAGCACAGGCCATTAAAGATGCAGTAGAGACAACGATACCTGCAAAAAGAAAAACTAAAAAACCCTGGATTTCCGAAGCGACGCTAAAACTCACTGATGAAAAACGTAAACTAAAACAGATGAAAAACGTTTCCATAGAATATGCACAGCAATATAAAGACTCATGTCGGAGAGTCAAAAAATCAGCAAGACAGGATAAAGAGCACTGGATAAACGACCAACGCGAGCAAGCTGAAAAAGGTCTAAATATTGGAAATACTAGAGAAGCATACAGCCTATTCAAAACATTAAGAAGCGAATTTGTACCTCGACTGAATGTGATACGAGATCAGCAGGGCACAATGTTACAGGCAAAGGACGACATAAAACAAAGATGGACACAGTATTGTAGCAGTCTGTATAAAGATCCTGGCGGCGGAGACGGGATGGTTAAAGAACTTGAAGACATCGCACCTCCCTGAAACGAAGAACCCCAGGATATCCTGTACTCAGAGGTCCAAGCAGCAATATGTGCATTAAAAAGAAACAAGAGTCCAGGGTCAGACGGTATTACGGCGGAAATGCTATAAGCTGGGGGCGAACAGTTAGCACGCCAAATCCACAATCTCTGTAACAAAGCATGGCATGAAGGTACAATTCCAGAACAATGGGGCAAATCCATCCTGGTGCCTATTCCGAAAAAAGGAGATCTCAGCAGTTGCTCGAATTACCGAACGATCTCTCTTATTAATCATACAGGAAAAGTACTCCTAGTAGTACTACTCAACAGATTAAAAAATCATCTAGATCCGTACCTCTCCGATGAACAGACAGGATTTAGGAAAGACAGGAGCACCGTACATCAAATTCTGACACTCAGATTATTGGCTGAAAAAGCAAAAAGACAGGGAAAGAAAATATATAATTGTTTCATAGATTTCCGAAAAGCATTCGATACGATTAAACATAAAATTATCTGGGCTATGTTAAAATCCTACGGCGTAGCCGCAAAAATGATCACACTGCTACAAAAGATCTACGAAAAGTCACAGTCAGCTGTTCGAATTGGTAATGATTATGGCGAGTGGTTTCAAACAGACGTAGGAACTAGACAAGGCGATCCTCTGTCACCACTCCTCTTCATCGCATATCTAGAAAGAGTAATGGACCAGGTGAGACAGAACACCTGCGGGATCAACGTCGGTGGAGCGGTCATAAACAACTTGAGATTTGCCGACGATATCGATCTTATAGATGAAGATCTTAGCTCACTCCAACGCCAAATTGAGCTAACAAAGACAGCTGCTGAACAATCTGGACTGATACTGAACATAAATAAAACTAAAACTATGGTATTTGGGGACAGGAATATTGAAAGTAGCATCCAAGTGGCAGGCAGTACCATAGAAAACGTGGAAAAATTTGAATATCTAGGCAGTCTGCTGACATGGGATAATAACTGTTCAGAGGAAATAAAAAGGAGAATAGGAAAAGCGACAGGTGCACTAGCTTCATTGAAACATATTTGGAAAAGTAAAAAACTTAAGACAGAAAACAAACTGAAAATCCTAACAACATGCGTCTTCAGCGTCCTATTATACGCGTCAGAGACATGGACCTCAAAAGAAGCAGACAGGAAAAAACTATGGGTATTTGAAATGAAATGTTACCGACGAATTCTAAGAATAAACTGGCAAGATAAGATACAAAACGAAGATATCAGGAAAAAGATATCAAAAGAGGAGACTATAATAGACACCATCAAGAGGAGAAAACTACGGTTATTTGGCCACATCTGCAGAATGGATGATACGAGATTAATCAAACACATAATATTTTCGAAAATGGAAGGAAAATCTCGCCGGGGGCGTCCGTGCAGAGAATGGCTGTATGACATAACAGAGTGGTGTCAACGCAGTGGACAAGAGCTGTTCCACCTTGCACAAGACCGACAGGCGTGGAAAAATCTGATCCCGTAAAAAATGGTTGGCCCCAACGGGCGCAAAGCCTATGGGACATGATGATGATGATGATTTACTGATATATGCATGGAAAAATCGCGATTAATCGACCAAAGTGAGGCGATTTTGAGGACATGGGATCTTTAATCTTTGAACTCAAAAAACCATCCTAGACACTTATTTAACGCATTTGTGCATTGTTATTGCATATATAACTTTGAAGAAATCAGTATCTATCATGGGAAAAAAAACTTAATGATACAAATCTTTTACTTATGAGTAATGAACAGCTGATCGCAGATATGGTATATTTACATCATTTACTCGAATTCTATCTTGTAAATTCTAGACAGACAGACAGACAGCAAAATGCTTTCTTTACCGTCGTACAGACCCTAGACTACAGTCTAGGGAAAAGGAAGACAAACTTTTTCTCAAAAATAATCTGCGTCTCTATAATTAATGAGTGTATATTTGTAATAGCTAACGTTGCTCAGTCGGTCTTCCGTTATGTGATATCTCACAAAGGATGCCTCCTCCAACATGTTTTGTGAAACTCACATATTAAAATGTGAGTGAGTTTTTAAGCCCAAGTTTTCCGACTCCTCCCCTCCCACTTCACTTTTCTATAGACAACCCTTCCATTGCAGATAATTGCCCTTGGTTACCGACCGACGCGACGTATAAATTGATTGATGTACTTTGCAATCGTTCTGGTTCACCTAAAGCTTTGCTGCAAACGTATATCTATAAAAACTAGAGCAATAACATTTAGAAAGTATATGGTAAAATAGCTCTTGATCTATATCAATATGTGAGTTTCATATTTTAGCCCCATGAGGGCTACACTGACAAGCTTTTTTACTCATCTAAGGATTTGTTCTGTTATGTATGTTCAGTTTTCTGTTGGCTCATATGCTTTCTCCTTTAGAGCTATTCTCTCTGACTTGATATTTCATGCAATCTTTCTTCGCGTTGTACCATCATTCTGAGAGAGTTCCAGTTTGATTAAGATGGTACAAACGAAATTTTCGCTGATGATATTTAGTGGATTATGGGACGGCTTCCAAATTCCTTTTTCTTTCTGGAAGTGACTTTAAAAAGATTTGCAGATACTTTATAGTGACCTCCCCCCCTGCAATAGAAGATTTTTCCCCAAAGGATCCGATGTGCAGAACGAGATACTAGGCCCCTAATCATAATAATAATAAAAAATTGTTAAATTAATTAGTAATATTTTTCAGCTAAAACTGCTAATTTTTCACGGTTTGTTTTGGCCAAATATACATCTAAAATTCTGAAACGCCCTTGAGAGCTTCGGAAAAAAACCTGGGGAACCCTGGAAAACTAAGATGGTTTTTCAGAATTTTTTAAAATTAAAACCCATGGAAAAATGTGTACCATAAAAGAAGTCCCGGAGTCTTCTGTTGCGAAGAGATTTAGATATTACAAGGCCGGTAAAGAGTCTATTCTAGATGTTATATGTACAGCAAAACTACTCAATGGAAAACGACTAGCTATCGGCATTTTGTGGACGGAAATCGTTGGGATTGTCCAGCGATTTGTATCTCATATGCAGCTGCAAACAACAATAAGTTTGACGAACGACTCAAAAATTCTGTGACACCTGACTCTGTAAAGTGATTACAAGACATCGTGAAAAGCATCTGCTAAGATGGTGCTGAAATCATCGATCAATATGACTACATTCGTTTTTTGTATAACTATATCCTGTCAGCTGCTGGGACTGGTTTTTTAGACTTAACAGGATTTATCACAAATCCTTATAGATTTTGAAACAACTCTTGCACAATCTCGAGAGTGAGGGCGAAGAGATTGGTGACAAGGCGAAGTTGACTGATGGTGCACGAAAACCTTGATACAGTTAATAAATCCTGGGGAAGAGATAAATTCCCAAAAATAAGTCCTGTTAGCCCCTCATTAACTGATTATATAGATCTTATCATATTTACATTTTTAAATTTCTGTCATTAGAATACTCTTATTTGGTACATTTGACTGTTGCATTCTTATAATTCTGATACGAAATGTGCTAAAAATTTGACTTTTAGGGAGACAGTTAGTAGAGCAACCGGAACGCACTATAAAAGGAAAATGGGAGCAAAATATCTGAGTGACAGTTTAAATAAAACTCAATGAAAGACTATGTCGACTTACTGTTGTGTCTTTGCTGAAGAGTTAAGTAGATCAAATGTTTATCTTCTTCAACCTTCATTTGGTCGATGGTGAAGTAAACACCAGGAAATAATAGCTCTTCTTCTTCATCAGGAAAGTTTGAATATGTTTTAAGATCAACAGTAAAAGCAAGGCCCACTTTCATAATAAGTATCGTATTTCCGAACATCTCAGCTACATTGCGATCTCGAGTACATGAAGTGAACGCTTGGAATGAATGTGATGGTTTTGGATTCTTCGAACAATCATCCTTGAAAGAGGAAATCAAGTCATCAGACAGTTGAGTTCCACGATAAAGTATTGTTCCTGGCTTGGCTGATTCACTGTTGAATGGATTATCCCACAGAAGAAGACAAAATGAGCCCAATGTGTGTAATTTACTTCGCCAGATTGTCTCATGTTCTTCACTTCCTATCGATCGCATTGCCTCATTCATTTTTTTGAATAAGAATGTGTCCATCGTATAGAGATGAGCACAGCATATCCATACATCCCTCATTTCTGCTTCTTTTTTTTCTCTTAACATCTTAGCCATACGTTCAGCCTGAATTTGCTTTCCAACCTCTTTGCCTTCTTCAACAATACCCAATGCAGCTTTTTCTACAATCATCGGAACGATGTCCGAATTTTTCGACGGTAGTTTTTTTTTTTTTAGGCTTAGATCTTTTGCTACTTCTTTTACAAAAGGTGAAATAAAGCCATACACATCACCATAGGGGCGTTTCGGAGCAACAGGATTGGATAAAAATCTTTCCGATCGCACACGCTTTTCATCTCCATTACATTCCATTCGTTTGATAGGTCGTTGTTTTTTAGGATTATTGCTTGAGCTTTGAAGATTGTGCTCAAAATCAATATGATAGCCGTCCAACGTGGTATGAGCTTTACCAGCTGTGAATGCTTCTTCAATGATCTCACTTTCTATATCACGGTAACGATGCCATTCGACTGGTTGAGACTTCGAAAACGGATCCGCGCTTGAGTTCCACATCCATTGGATGCGTCTGGAAGGACTGTTGATTGCTGATGCTTTACTCTCCGTTGACGTTGTCTTTTTTTGAGACGTTTTGACGTCATCATCTATCGATTTTCGATTTTCTCTAGGTGTGCATGATTTAGGATCCATTGATATAGCTTTTTAAGGCTCTTCCCTTAAAAAAAATTTCATTGTTGCAACAAACATCGAAATGAATATACAGTGACTACCAAAATTATCCAACAAGCAGACAGGCTATTTTTGTTTCTTCTATATCTTGCAACCCGATTGAGCTGTCAAGGTCCCGGCTTCATAGCCTCATCAGCCACAGTCCCTAGTACCTCCATAC